CATCAGGATATATCTTATCGTGACCCCCTGTCATGATATGTATCGTATCGCCAAATTCTTGCCAACAAAAGCTAAGTTATTTATTTAACAAATTTTTAATTTATTTCACTCATTTTCTTCATTTTTTGATTTATTTTACTCATTTTTTTATTTATTTCACCCATTTATTTATTTACTTAATTTTGGCTAAAACGGCTCTCCATATATGCTAGCTCTTTATTATCAGAATCTAACAAACTAGTGTTGTTGTTTTATMTGAAACTTATGAGTTGGGTTGTTACAATTTTGAACTTTAAGTCAATATTCAAGTAAGTTTTGCAAAACTGGAAACATTTTATGTTGTTGGCAAAAAAAGCAGAAATATCTCCTTAAACTCCTGACATTTAAAACAAATGGGAGAAGTATGCATGTGTTCAGCTCATTCATTTTGTCCCCTTTGTATAATTTCCTTTGCTCATCTGCATTAAACAATTAGTTTCTCAGACAATATTTGCTTTTGTCTAACATGGCTGCAGTGTAAGAATGGATTTATTAATAGAGTTATCAGAAGGAAGATCTGCCCTGAGCTCCCTGTGCTCTGCACTGACCTATTGATTTAGAGTGGATGTGCCTGAAGTGTCTTTTCATGAACAGGAAACAAGTGACATGAAGCAAACCACTGCCACCTGGTGGACAAGTTGTCTACGTGCAGGTTTGTGTGAATAAAACAGCAGCTGAAAGCATCTTGATGGCTCGTTATGAGGTAATGTGGGGATTTTAAATCATCAAACAATGTTTTTAAAGTTTTAGTCAGATTTTTCCTCACTTCTTTTGCCCTTTATTAACTTGACTTTATGACTATTTTTACACCACTGCTGCTGTCAGATGGTAATTGGCAGCAAACATGAGGTATTAAGAGTCTCACAGGTCTGTATTGTTTGCAAAGGAAAATTGGCATCCATGAGATGCCTCTCTGCCTTCATCGCTCTGACTTTCTGAAGCAAGCTCTCTATGCTAATCCACCAAACACCTCAGCTCCCACCTGCCAACCCTCATTATCTCCATGCTATATCTGAAATAAACAACATGGGGGGAACTGAGTGTCAGGGAGATCTTTTTTTTTTTCTAGCATTCCATAATGAAGATTGAGATGCAAWCTGGCCCAAAGACAAAAAGAGAGCAGATGCTTTATCAACTATGTTCTGATATTTGGAGGTGATTTATGAATGATGTGAAACTTTTTTATTCTTTTAGGACAGGGGTGTCAAACWAATTTTTGGATCCCAGTTCTCCCCTATGGTCTGATYTGGTGGGGTGGGTGGGCGGATCTTCCCTTGCGGGTGCCCCTTGGGGCTCTGCGCTCGGGATCCCTCTCGGGTCCTTGGGCTCTGGTCTTCCCTATGTCTGCCTCTTGTCTTGGGGGTTGGGTCTCCGGTCCTCCACAGTCACCATTAAATATTCCATTGGAGAAATCTTGTATATACAC